ATTTAGGTTTACCAGAGGGTATGCGTTCCGGGATGTTGCCCAAGCTTGCTCCTCTGTTTGATGAATCCGGGGGAAATTCCTCCCCATCATCGACCACCATTCCTTGGTTTGAGTTAAATTTCACCTTCCTCATCCCTTAGGTCAAGCCATAATAGGTTAAGGAGATGAAGACATAGAAGGTAAGATGAAACAAGAGAAAAACCTTCTTCAAACACTCAGCCTCCCAATCTGAAGTACGTGATTGTTAACAGAATTTGGAAAAAAGTTAACAGATATGTTTGATTGTTGAAACTAGATAGTATGAGGGGGTTAATTGCAACAATAAAAAGTACATGGTGGTGTTTTGAAATATGACCAAAGTTCAAGGTGGTAATGTATAATTTAGCTTACAAAATATTTAGATTTAAACATTACGTAGAATAGAATTAAGTCATGATATTTTAAAAGGTAAAAAAATTAAAATCAAGGGATTTTTTATAATATATATTTTGAAATAGATTATATCAGAGTTAGAATTATTTTACATCATTATAAATTATATTCTTAATCTTAAATAATTTTATTTATATGTAATGATTCTTATTTATTAAGCATACAAACCTTTAAATAAAAGTAAATCAATAATTAAGATGGAGTGCAATACATTAATACTTTTTATTCTTACACTGATATAAGAATAATTTATCCTATTATACTAATATAAATAGGGGCAAGATCAACTTACACCAAATTTTAACTGTTGATTTTTGTGAATCTAACGGTTATAATTTATTGTGTCACCAGTGGTGGAGCTAATAATTTTGATGACAAGGGCGAAAATAAAAGATACTATATTATAAATAAAAATACTTGAAATACAAAACAAACCTAATACAATACATCACTACACTTAACTATTACTCTACATGTTTTCATATTGTTAAACTCATCTATAACTGAATTTGTGCTAAAACTCAAAACAATTTCTTTTTCAATGTATGTAATCAAATAATCATCAAGAAATTGATCTTCCATTCTATTTCGAAGTCTGTTCTTAATTATCTTCATAGTTGAGAAAGATCTTTCAGTAGTTGCTGTAGAAACTAGAAGAGTGAGTACAAGTCTAATCACTCTATCAATAAGAGGGAAAATGATGGACTTTCCAATTCTTGTTAGCCCTTGACGTAATTCAGATGTAGTTGATAAATTAATCAAATATGGATGTTTAGGAATGTCAAGCTCAAAATGTTGTAACTCTATCTTTGAATGCAATTTTTCCTGTTTTGTGAAATTTCTAGAATACAATTTATCAACAAGTTTGCAAATATCACAACTATTAAATGACTTGTACCTGTTTCTTGGATCTAAAGTCATGCTCAAAGCAAGTAATTCAACAATATTATCATTAAACTTGCTATTTAATTCTTATAATTGATAATCAATTGTAGCACAAACGATATTTACCCTATAAAATTTTTAAGTAGAAAAATCACCTTGTTCATTTCGATCATGACCTTTCCTTCCAATATATTTTGCACTTATATTTGGAATTTCAATGTCATATTTTATGCAAAATTCTCGAACATGAACCAAGAAAGCATCCCAACATGTCTCTCTTAATTTCTGAAATAACTCTTTTGTAGTTGAAACCAGATGTAAAACATTTGAAATATCTTGAGACTCTCATTGCAAAGCTTGATAAAGGACTTCAGTAATACCAATAATTTCTTTCATAAGGTGCAATATGATGACAAAATAAAAAAGATGTCAATGATGAGTATGCATTATCTGCATCTCCATGATGTGATGTTGTTTTTCCTTCATTAGAAATATTGTCAAGAACTTCACATGCTTTAAACATTTTATACAAGTTTCATATGGAGTTGTAATGAGAACTCCAACGAGTAGCTCTAGCTCGATGAAAAATACCAATCTGATTAAGACCAACTCCTAATTCGAGTTCATCAATAGCAATCATTCTTGCAATTTCATTTGTTTGGGCAATCCTTAACTCATCATTACTCTTACAAGAAGAAGTAACTCATCGTTACGCTTACAACCCTTAAGTTCTTTCACCTCAGATATTGCTAACTCCATCGTAGCCTTGTCCTCGAATATTTTGAGCGTCAAGATTATGGTGATGAAGAGTGTTGAGTATTCATTGTTTAAAAGTCTTAGCACCTTTGTTTTTGGTATAACGTCTTAGCACTTTTATCTTCCACATGTACAAGACCGAAAAATCTTTTCCGTATAAAATCATCTTTATCTTCGAATCTCAAAAGTCAAAATAATAGCCACATGCTTTATTTTAGATACATCACTAGCTTCATCAACAATAAGACGAAACTTGGCATTGGAAATTTCTTCTCGTATTATGTTCTTTACCATTTCAGAGAAAACATTAAGAATTTCCTTTTGAATTTAAGGGAAACTATATGATGCATTTTGAGGAGCTTTTTCTAAAACAATTGTTGCAACTTCTTGATTATAGGAAGCTAAAAACTTTATCATCCAAAGAAAATTACCTTGATTGAGTGAATCTAAGCTTTTATCATGACCTCTAAAAGCACATCCTTGCAAAGCGAGCCATCTTGTCACATCCACATAAACTTGTAGTCTCAAATGATTAGCTGTAATATGCTGATAAGTAAGTCTTTCAACCAATGTCATGTTAAGGAGTATCACAGAAAAGCAGCGTAAACTTAGTCACACATAAAATAAAAGAGCAAGAAATAGATATCACAACATACAAAAAAATAATAATGCAGTTTCTAAGCAGAGAAGCATCAGAAGTCACATTTATAAGTAATTGAAAATTAAATAAAGCTAAATGGTTTTTACCTCTGTACGGTAGATCCAAAAGGACAGAGAGAAAAATTGTTGTTAATAAATGTGACCTATGAAAGATCAGCAAGGAATTATTATAATTTAGAAGAATTAACATACAAATGAATAGAACAAAAGCAAAGCCAAACAAGGCTTGAATTTTGTAGTTCAAAAAGAGTGAAGCATGATCAAGAGAAAATATCAGAAAATAAACAAGGTCAACTGGTTCAAAATACCACCCGAATGAAAAATCTTCTCTTTCAGGATACTCGCTTCGAAAATGAGTAAAGAGGAGCGTGAGAAAAATGCAAAATAGACAAACAGAATAAGAGATTGAGATTTCAAATTCAAATGGATAATAAACTCACAACATGTCATCTATATAGATTGAAGACATATCGAAATTATTGTACGTCAAATAACATCAAAAGTATGGGTTTCAGAAGAAGGAATGTCGAATGTTTTTTTACCCTTGCAAGGGTCGTACTCGCAGGAAAAAGGTCTCTTCTTTAGATTTGCAAGATAATAATATCAACAAGAAAGGTAAAAGCAAGTCAGTAAGTTCCTAAGTGGTAGCGGGAGTGACACTTAACAGAGGTTAGAGAAATTAGCATGTAGCTTTTTAAGCAATCTACAGCAACTACAACGAAGTTATTAAGAAAATGCCATTATAGATATCTGTTTGGTGTTTGTCATTTTAAATGATATAAGTTATGTCATTTTAGGAGAGAGATAAACACAAAAAATGAAAATCATGGGAGAGAGAAAGTGGGTGGTTTTTTTTAATTTAAATTTTAAATAAAAAAAATTATTTTGTGTCTATCTCTCTCTTAAAATGACATGACTTTATGTCATTTAAAATGACAAACACTTTTCTTTATATATATATATATATGAGATATGATATTGTTATTATTAATTAGCGTTACTACCAATGTCACTACCACTTTGTTTCAAGATTGATTATGTTGATCCAACGGTTATATTTATTCCATCTTTGTATGGTTATGATTTCCTTTCACATTAAATATGGGAAATCATAACCATACAAAGGTGAAAATAAATATAAAATATTAAATATAGGAAGAAGAAAGAAGGTTTTTAGAAAGTTAAATCATAACCGTTGAATCAACATAATTGATCTAACGGTGAAACAAAGTGATAATGACATTGATAATAACAGTAATTGATAGTAATAGTGTCCTATCTCTCTCTCTATATATATATATATATATATATATATGGAAAACACATTTCTCCGACAACTTGAGATAAGTTTATCTCCGGCCATCCTAAATCTACGTCGTTTTATTTATTTATTTATTTATATTAATTGATTCACCTTTGAATGGTTATGATTCTCTTTTTCTCTCTCTTCTTTCATAACCATTGATCCATCTTTGTACAGTTATGATTTAGTAGCCGGAGATAAAATTATCTCAAACAGCTTGAGAAACGATAAGCCCTATATATATATGTCAAATATTGAAATTTGATACCAAATTTTAACCGTTAATTTCTAACAATCAACAATTATCATTTATTGAGAATTAATAATTAATTAATAAATTTGATTAACGAAAATGATAACCGTTGATTGATAGAAATCAACGGTTAGGATTTGATATCAAATTTCAAAGTTTGACACCGGTGTCAAAGGATATATTTAAAAAATTATAGAGGAGAAGTGGCCCACCCTAGCCCCCTTTAATTTCGTCTCCCTGTGTCACACTTATTAATTAATTACTAATTTTCAATAAATTATAATCGTTAGATTTATGCAAATTAACGATTAAGATTTGATGTAAACTTATTATTATTATTATTATTATTTGGTGTAAGGTGTAAAATTTAATATTCTTACAATTAAGTTGATCTTATCCTATATAAATATTTTATCGTATTATAAAAAAGGGATTTGCATTTGTCATTTAATATGACACAACAAACTTTCCTACACACACAACATTTTGTGGGACACACACTTTTTGAAGAAAAAAGAAAAAGAAAAAATTATGACACTCAAAACGAATCTATATGACATTACACAATCACTTTTTCTACAACATAACTCTTATAAAACCCTATAAAAAAAGTATTGAAGATGTCTTATAATTTATCACAAATTTGTTGGGGAAAAAAAATAAAATATAATATGACAGCAAGCAAGTTAGGTTAATCCATGCTAAACATATGCTTCATTCCAAACAAAGCCTAAATAAAACAGTGCATCGTAAATTCCCTTCACTCTTCCCTTGTGTGCTTAGCAACTTCGACGCTTGCCGCCTTAGCTCTCTCTGCTTGCCGTCGCCGTCTGTTCAAGTTCCGGTGAGTTTTTGTTACAATTCCTGTATTTCTATCTTTCCGTTTTGCTTCTTTAAATGACGTGCATCCTTTCTCTTTTCTGATTGTGTTACCATATATCTGTTAACGTTCTCGTTGTTTCTGATGTTATTTCTACATCTATGTTGTTCTTAACAGATACTGCAGTTACTATATAATATGTTTCCTTTTGTTGTTTTAAGAAAAAAAAATTTATTTTTTTAATGCGTATAAAACCTGTTTGAGCTACCCGTTAAGTTGAGATATTGAATTGTCAGAATATGATTTGTATGCTCGGTCCAATAACCCTTTTGTTTTGTTTCTTTGTTTCCTTTTTCTTTGGGGGTTTACCATGATGGGTTTGCTGAAAGGAATGTCCTTTTTGAATTGAACTGAATAGTTATAAACCAGTAATAGCTTACATTAGTATATCGGCCTAACTTTTTTAATACTTTGATTGCAGTCATGTGTGGTTAATCTGTTTATGATAGAGTGTTTCAGTGTCTTAATAATGGGTAATTGGATGTGCAATTTCATGTTTCATTTTTTGTTTTCCCAATTTGAATGTGGAGGATGAAATAGCATGCTGGAGTCAGCAAGATGCAAATTGAAATCTTTTATGTCCTAGTGTTTGAAGATTTGTTTGTAGTGTAATTGTGTTTTCATTGCTTGTTCAGCGCTATGGTCCTTGACTCGTTGCTGCTTGAAAAGAATTGAGATTTAAGCCATTCATGTCAAAGGGAACCACCATATTGGAAGGCTGATTTATAAGGTTCTGGTAATTTCTAAAGGCGGGTTTTCTTGTGCCTAGTGCACCTGCAATTTCTGCTTGTAAGAGTAAACATGTCAGGTTCTCTATCACAAACTGAAGAACAAGCAGATCAGGTCTCAATTAGTAGCATCACCAAAGGGAAAACACTATGTGAGGAATGCAAATCTAAACCATCAAAGTACAAGTGCCCTGGTTGCTCCATACACTCATGCAGTCTTCCTTGTGTGAAAGCTCACAAAGTGCGTACTGGATGTACTGGCAAAAGGAACCAGACTCAATTTGTTCCTCTTTCTCAGTTTGATGACAATATCATATTATCTGGTAATTTACTCTTGAAATTTTGTATTTTGCCTCTTAATCTTGTGATATCTAGTTGATTGCTTAAACATAACAAATTTACTTCTTAATATCATTCCATTCAACCAAAAAGACCTTTTTTGGTTCGTCAGAGATTTGACATAAGTCCTTTTTCCTGATTTAATTTTCAATATTTTAATGTGGATTTTTTTTTCCCTTTTGGATTCTTCTTGTTTGTTGTTATCGTTTCTGAATTTTTATAAATTTGTAGTGTACAACTGGACATACATAGTTCTATTGGTGAATTCTTCTAATTTCCCCTATATCTAAATCTTGGTGTTTATTTTGTGATTTCCTCCATCTAGACTATAATTTGCTGGAGGAGGTGAAGAGGGTGGCTGAATCTGCTCAGAGAATGAGAACTAAATTGGGCATGTATACATACTTTAAGTTACCTCATTACCTCAAAAGCCTACGAAGTGCTGCTGGAAGCCGGAGAACCAAACTACTGTTTCTCCCTAATGGAATGTCAAAAAGAGAGAAGAATCAATCTCGATATGACCAAAGGTATTTTCATCTTTATGAAAACTTTTGTTGTTATTAGAGGATGGTACGTGTAATCAATTTCTTCCTTTTGTACTTAACTCATTACTGTTTCCTTGTTTAATTTTGAACTTTTGGGGTATATGTGGTCTGTAGTATATGAAGTGAATGTGTGCAGCTTGGATATTTTATCAAATTGTGGTTTCTTCTTAAAGCATTGGTGTGCCAAAGGGAAATGTGATAATGAGAATGTTTCATTTTTAGGTTGCTAAGGTGGAAACTAATGTTTTTAAATAAATGACAAATATGTTCGTATGATGCTTTCAGGAAAAAGTTCATATCTTGGACAATTGAATGGCGTTTTCACTCAACAGATATTGTTTTACATGACCACGGGTGAGCCATGTAGCTAATTTCTTTGGTTTTGAACAAGATACTACACCTTACATTCTAATTGTATGCTGAGTCTTAAGAATACTATTTTGAGACGATGTTATGCTCATGTCTTCCAGAGTCGATGAAAATACAAGCTTTTGCTCCATTCTAGAGAAGCACCTCAAACCTGGTCCTTGGAATCATCAGCTAAAGCAATTTTCTGAAGACCGTCTGGATTGTCTCAAGCTTTTCATTCGTAAATACCCAAAGGTGGTTTTCTTTACCTTTTCTATGGCTGAAATCCAGGATACTAAGCTGGCAAACTTGTAGGATCTCATTGACCGAGCATATTGAGATATGACTTCATTTTAATTGTATGTTTTATCTTGTTCATATTAATACAGGGTCCTAAGTCACCTTTCAAAGAGTTGGATATGAAAGCACCAATCAGACAGCAATTAGCAAATACAGTCATTTTGGAGTTTCCTGTTGTTTTCGTTTTCTTGCCATCTCACAGAATCAACTTTGAAGTTATTAAGGATCTCAAACCCAGCATACCTAAATCAATGCAGAAAGATAGTGAAGGTAATCATAGCCCAGAAGGTGTATCATTTAGGGAGGAAGTGATTGAAGATGACAACAGCTCTCCAGTTCCTCAGGTTTTTGATCTCATGAAGCATGTGGAACCGGGTTCATCACATCGAGTGCATACCCAAAGTATGAGTTCTGAGAAATTACCAAATGATTCATCAGATAAACCTCTGTTTGAAGGAAACCCTGGGGGTAATCTATCACATTCTTCACCGAAAACCAAGGAACTAAAATTATCTGAAGATATGTCATTTGACTTTGATCAAGATTTTATGGATGTCTATGGTGATCTTATGGCTGAAATGAATCCTGATGACTTCCTTGATTTTGATAGTGAATTTGCCAAGGAAACAGAAAATGAAATAGATTTAATTGGTACCAGTGGTGTATTTTCTGTGCCAGGAGAATTGGAGGAAGGGGAAATTCTAGAATAGTTGGTAGCTATAATTCACTTTTGCTGAAGAATTGGAGAGAAAATGAGATAACATTGACAACACAAATCATATTATATGTTTTAAGGTCCATTCCTTTATATTGAGCATGACACAGGTTTTTGTGATAGTTGATCTGCCGAAGGAATAACACTATAATTTCCAGTTTGGATGCGTTAAATTACTCCCTAAATCCTTTCTGTAAAAGAAATTACTCCCTATAATTTCCAGTTTTTGAGCATGCCTTTGCATGGGGAATCAGGCAGAGCTCAGGCATTGGTTGCTTTGCTCATCACTTTAGGTCAAATTTTGGTATTGGATTTTACTTTTGTTTGTTAGCCTACTTTTAATGAGAAATTGATTTCAAATTTGTTGATCTTTTTCAAAGCTTTACCTTTTCCTCTCTCTCTCTCTCTCTTTTTTTATTATTTTTTCCTTTTTCTTGGGGGATTGTGGCTTTGTAGGAGTGAAAATAGAAGTGAAAATGAACAATATATTGTATATATTTATAGGAGAAGGATACGTTTACAAACTTTTTTTACAAATTACACTAAGTATGACGAGACATACATTCTTGATTGAAGTATGACCGGTCATACTTAGTGTAGTTTGTAAACAAAAAGTTTGTAAATATAATCTTCTCCATATATATATATATATATATATATATATATATATATATATGAGCTAGGATATTTTTACTACCCATTTTTTTTACTACCACTTCACTACCACTTTAATCACCATTGGATTAGTGCCTGTTTGGATCCTCTTATATTTAAGCTAGAAGCTACTTATAAGCATAAGTTAGGCCAAACAGGTTTTGGAAAAAGCTCTTATAACGAAAAGCTCTTTTTTTTATAATGAAGAAAAAGCTGAAAATTAAAAGCTCCTAGGAGGAGCTTTTTTTTAAGCTCTTATTTGTTTTTCTTGAATTGTGTGCTTTTTTTTTAAATGAAGAGTGATAAAGATAGAAAAAGAGATAATTTTCTTGAAATATGTGCTTTTAAGTAATTTTTAAGCTAAATTTTTTTTGTAATTTCCAAACAGCTTTTAGCTTCTTTTTTTAAGCTCTTTATTTTAACTTTATCTTATAAGTAGCTTCTAGCTTAAAAATAAGAGGATCCAAACGGGCTCTTAGAGTAAAAGTTGAATGAAGAGAGAGAAAAAAAATAACTTTTGAATCCAATGGTGATTAAAGTGGTAGTGAAGTGGTAGTAGAAAAAAATGGTAGTAAGAATATCCTACCTATATATATATATATATATATATATATATATATATATATATATATATATATAGAGGTAGGATCCTTTGACACCGGTGTCAAAGTTGAAGTTTGACACCTCATCTAAGAGCCGTTAGATCAAAAAAGATCAATGGTATCACATGCTTACAAATCAAAGTTGTTGATATTTTTTGATCTAACGGCTCTTAGATGAGGTGTCAAACTTTAAATTTGACACCGGTGTCAAAAGATCCTGCCTCATATATATATATGGAGAAGATTATATTTACAAACTTTTTGTTTACAAGTATGACCGGTCATACTTAGTGTAGTTTGTAAGAATTTGTAAACAAAAAGTTTGTAAATATAATCTTCTCTCTCTCTATATATATATATATATATATATATATATATATATATATATATCGGAACATTTTGCACCAGTGTAAGTTACTCTCAACCTTGATCGTTGATTCTACTTATATCTAAGAGCTCTAATTTTTCAGTAATGTGAGCTATTAGATACAAGTGGATCAATGCTCAAAATTGAGTATAAGACTTTTAACTCTTACACCGGTGTAAGAATATCATGTCCCATATATATAAGGTTCCTCATTTCTGCTACCGCTGCAGATGAGAAAAGTTGCAGCAAACCTATTAACACCAGGATACGGAGCTATATCTTGGAATAAAAAAAAAACACCAGGATGCAGAACCATATCCTGGTAGAAATGAGTGTTGCTGCAAATTTTCTCATCTGCAGCGACAGAAGAGCTATTAAAGCCATATATATATATATATATATATATATATATATATATATATATATATATATATATACACAAGTGGGTTCCGGAAGTGTGAGGAGGGAAATGAAGTAAACTAGAGCAGAAATGGAAAGCAGGAAAGTAGACGGACTACTGTATGAAATAAATGACTGAAATTAAAATGCAGAAATTAAAACATAAAATAAATTTAAGGTGAGAACCCAAGCTGTATACGGTAGGCCGAAGTCAAACTTGGGTGGAAGGATGGAGAAGAGAAGAGTTCATTACATAAGCAGATATGAAATAAAACTTTTATTCAAAACATAAAGATTGAGATTACAGTTACAGATTGAAAGATTAAAGAGAAAACAGAGAAGAAGAGAAAACTCAGAAGTACCTCGCAGTCTCTCTCTAGACTATCTCTCTAAACTCAGCTAATAAAAGGATGCCTTCAACATACTGAAGCAACCCTTTAAATAGATTGAAAAATCACTATTGCTACAGTACAAGTTACATGACCGGTACTGTTTGAACAGTGTAGGTTAAGTGAACAGTAACTGACTCGTGATGCTACAGTTTCTGCCGACACTTTGATTACGTCACTGTATGCGTCACCTTATGCTGACATCATGCTCATGTCATTTTGCCATCAGCGTCACTACAGTGGTTTTCTTCAACAGTCTTTTGCTAAGTTGATTCCAAAACAATCATCCTCATTTTGGTAGAAGTCTTCTGTTGAAGAAGAGATAGAAGGAGATGAAGAACCTGTCTTCTGTTTAGAACTCTCAGCTTCTTCTTGGAGTAATTGAAGAATACCTTGCAAATTCTTTGCAAAATTTTCTTTGCTGGTTGATGCTGCTAATGCTGCTGTGATCTGAGCCTTTTGATTCAAGAAAAGGGAGGTTTCTGGATCAGCTGGCTTGATGCTTTTTGGATGTTTTTTAAACCAGAGCTTGACATTTTCTGGGTAAGCTCTTGAAGCATCAAATTCTATCCACCATTTACCAAAAGCTTGTCTCCTGAGTAATGGTAGTCTGATGCCTGTTTTCTCGCCGTAATTGTACTGCCATGAAAATATCCATGCCAGAGAGAACTTTGAGAAAAAATGCAGATCTATTGGAAAGGGATCTGCTAGATTGTCGAATTTTTTGGAAAAGATTGTCATTCCTTCAAAGACTTGTGGAGGAAGGATATCAAGGATTGGTCCAAAATAATCCCACCATTTATTAAACCATTGCGGGAAATTATATTGGATATTTTGCTTAAAGTAAATTAACCATGAATGTTTGTTTTCTTTATTTTGCATGAAGAAGACATTGGTCCAGGCTAATTCTTAGTCCCAATAATTATATCCAATTGGATCATAAGGCTGGGAAAATTTGGTTATTTTATTTGGATTTCCATATTCTGCTGGGGTGATCACCTTGAGAATCTGGATGGTTGAATGAGTAATAAACTCAGGGTCTTTTGGACTCTTATAGTGTTTGATGGAAATAGAGTTTGAATCAAGTAGAATAAACTCATAAAATTTTTGGGATTTAGTTGGAGAATGTGGTTTGAAATGAAATTGTCGTCCTTTGAAGTCTTTGGGGAAGATCTTCACAGGAACCTTGGTTGGTTTATTATCCCAGTAGGATGGTTCCATTTGGATTACTTCTAGAAACTTGTTCTTTGAGACATATGGTGTTTGAGGTTTTGATTTCTGGGTAGAAATAGGTTTGGGTTGGATTTCTAGGGCCCTGTTTGGACGGTTAGAGATCTGCTTGGTTTTTAGGTTATCAATCAAAACAGAAAGACTTTCTTCCTGTTCATCTTCTGAAGCTATTTCAGCCCAGGTTTTCTTTGGTAGATGGGTCAAACCTTGGTCTTGGAAGGCTTGAAGTGTTTGGATTGGCATTGCATAGTCTGCTTTGGATTGTTTAGAAGAGGAAGTATCCTCAACTCTTTGGGTAGAAGACCCATTTTGGGGTTGGGTAGATGACCCAGATTGTTGTTGGGCTGGAGACCCAGTTTTTTCTAATTTTTTAGCTAACCCAGCCAGGATTAGCTTTCCTTTCCTCTCTTTAGAAGAGGTTGATTTTACCGATTTCGGCATGACAGGACACTGTTTATCTTCCCTGCAGAAATTCACGAGTGAGATAATCAGGGAGAGAGTTTGAGGTGCCTTTGAGATATTCAATTTCAAAATCAAAAACACTTAAGATAGCTTGCCATCTAGCAAAAATTTGTTTAGATGCTAGATTCTTTACGTCCTTTTGTAAAATGTCTTTTGCAGATTTGCAATCAACACGGATTAAAAACTTTTGATTTAATAAATCAGATTGAAATTTTGAAATACATAAAACAATTGCTAAAACTTCTTTTTTGACAGTGGAATACTTTTGATGTGCTGAATTCCAATGTTTTGAAGTGTATGCAATGATATGCTTTTTGTCTGAGACTCTCTGTTTAAGAATGCCACCATAACCTATGTCAGAGGCATCAGTGTCAACAATTTTGAAAGCCTGAGGATTGGGAAGATAAAGACTAGGAAGTTCCTTTACCTTAGCTTTGACCTGTTTGACTACGTCAGTATGAACATCAGTCCAGGGAGGAGGGTCTTTTTTAAGACGATTATGGAGAGGCTTGATTAGATTATTAAGCTGAGGAAAGAAGTCAGCTACATAATTTAAACAACCAAGAAATCTTTGTAATTGAGTTTTATCAATAATTTGATTTGGAAATTTGTCAGCAAATTCAATAGCTCTACAAATTGGAGTAATAGTCCCTTGATAAATAGTATGACCGAGGAACCTGATTTTTGTTTAGGACGAGCTTTGGTTGGGATTTGCCTTTCATTAAAATCCTTTTCATAGGGAAGATCTACGATATGTTTTTTCCTTTGCCAAAAAGCATTCGGAAGATCAGAACAGATTGTATTTTGGATTTGTTCAAGCAAAACTTTGATCTTTTGTTGAACTTCAGGCTGCTTTAACTGATTTTCAATATTCTTAAAAGAAATTTCTTCTTTAAGGAAATTGATTTGTTTTTGTTTGTAATGTATAAAATTCAAATCTCTTATGATGGGTTTCTTAAGAAATTTAAAAACAATTGGTTTGTCCAAATGATAAGTAATTATACCCTCATCTGTGATAGTTAGAGGAAAAAGAGATTTGATGAACGGAGTTCCAAGAATAACTCCATTTTTTAGGTTTTTAACAAGGAGAAACAGTGTTTCAACTTTTAAATTATCATTTTCAATGATTGCTTTCGGAAGTTTATAATTAACCTGAAGTTTTGAACCACTAGCAGTACTAAGCCGTTCAGAAGTCTTTTCAAAATATTTAGTAGGAATTAGAC